ATTGCTCCATTCTGCTTTACCATGATCCTATGTACTTGATCCCTTCCGTGCGTCTCTGAAAATTATAATCCGAACCCTCGAGCTTCCACACTAAAACTCTATACCCGAGACACAACTGGCTCAGGGTCAGAACCAACTTCAAAGCAAGTGAGTACAGTACTCTTTCTAAAAGTCAAAGTCTGAGAACACCCGGCAGCCCACCCACCTGTACGGGAAGCCAACAACCCTCGATCATGTTCTCCTGTAAATCCTTTGAGCGTTGAAATATCAAAAGGCTTGTCTCGTCTGACCCATGCCTGAGCTGTCCCAGTGTGTCGATGAAGGCGCGCCAGTCGCCATCTGTCATCTTCCTGCAGTCCCACGGTGTCCGGTTGATGGTGAAGGCGCAATTAAGGGAGCGGAGGCGTGTGGATAATGTTCCACCATCTCTACGACGCACCCTCCACTAACTTAGCTTTGCTGGAGGGTAAGCAGGCGCTTTGGTGCTTACATGCCCTTTCAGCACACAAGCTCATTTAAGGCTGACCTCTGGTGATTCTGGGAAAATCTTTGCGTATAGCAGCTTCGTCAGCGGGCTAGAAATACACCAGAGACTGACCCTGAAGCCTCTGCGTTTCCCATGCTGGCACACACCATTCACATAGCAGAGCTAGTCATGTTGTGAAAATCTCCGCAATATGACATCCACTGCATATGTGGTTGGTTCCCATACAAAAAAGTGAGCCTCAAACAAACTCATTCGCATCGTTTGGGCTGCGTAAGAAGCCCCTTAGAGGCCCGCATGTCCTGTCCAACGTGTGAAGCCAAAATCTACGCATTTCCAATCAACTGCCACATAGTCCGCTCCTTAAAGCCCAAATGCTTGAAGCAAGACCCCAATGCCCTGAGCCATTGCTTCTTGCTCCCTCGAGCCTGTATGGTAAACAGGTACGTTCTCCCCCTTACATGCCCCCCGAACAACAGGGTCCTTGCTACACTATATAGGAAGCCCCCCTTATCCCTTAAATAAGGACCTCCTAACCCCCATGAACGGGAACACACACTGAACATATTCAAGCTTCGCCATGGGGTTGCACACCGTTGACTGGTTGTTGAAGAGCCTCACCTTCTTCGGAGTCTTCGGTCGGAGCATATGGGATATTTCATAAAGAAGGCTATACATGGCCCAAACAGGGTAAGTAAAGGCACTAAGTTAAGCCCTACAAAAAGCATGGATGCACTCCCAAGTATTAGAGCAAACAAAGGATCTAGAAGTTGAGCTGCAAGGAATCACAAAACAAGCATTTGGCGCGAAAGGCTCGCAAATTGTGGATCCCTTGCTCCCTGTATTTTGGAGATCTCCGTGACCTTTCAGAGCATAAGAAACGTCGGCTGGTTTTGGCATCTATTTTGGCCTGCGAGGATGTTTAGGGAACGGGCTCCAGTACAGTTGGACAAAAGTCTTGTACAGAATATGCTGAGTTCTGTATATTCATCCATCTTTGGCAACATTATATACAGGTTATTGCAAGAAGGCCATGAGCCCCTGCATGCTCTACGCAGTAGGTCCGTCCAAGGAGGAGCCCTCAGGTGCAGGATGTGCTGGGGCCACTGCTGAGCAGCTGACTTGCAAAAAACAACATGATCGGGGGCCACCCTGTAATACCCAACAGGACAACCAAGAAATCTAAAGCTCCAGCACAAAACCCTCAAGCTGCAAAACCAATGCCAGATATGCCAGCAGGGCACCCTTAAAAACTTCCCCCAGCACACCGCCCTTGAACAACAGATTCCACTAACATCAAGGGCCTCGTGAAGATTCTCAACCCGAGCGAACCCTCTAGATCTCTGAACCCTCCAATATGCCTACAACAAGCCCCAACATACCCCTAGCAGCCACTATACCATCCTTCCAGCCCTTGTTGTAGCCCCCTGCCCAGGCCCCAAATTGGGAAGTTTACAGGAATCCTAATCCCGAACCCCACCCTCACCCACCACTCCGAGATGGCCTATCACCTGTACGCATCCTGGACCGCGAACCCCTCCCGTAACTCCCTGAATCAGAAATCCACTGAAGCCCCAAGCCCCTAACCCGCTTACCCCGAAACCCCAAGCCCAAAGTCCAGGGCACTGCCATGACCATGGAGTCAAAGAGGGGTTCCTGGGCTTCCGTTGACAAACTATTACTATTCCAATGCAAGTTAAGGTTCCTTTTTTGGGGGGTATTAGGCTGCCGGCTGAGCATGCAGGGTGTAGGATTCAATCGGTGTCCGGCTTTCAGATTAGGGCCGCTTAGCGCTACTCTGTGTTGGGTTCAAGCAGTCGCAGACATGAGAAATCACCTTGGCCAAAATCCACCCGCTATTCCAGAATTTCAGTGGAAGACGTATTATATTCGTAAGAGAATCATGCTTTTCCAACATGTCAGAGTCTCTGTCAAGTTCGCAAGATCCGGAGCGAGGCGCAAAGCCGTCTCCTGCTTTGCGCAGCGGAAAACAAGGACTGTGAGACTGCATGTGGAAATATGTGCTGGGTTCAAAAATAATGCCACCCCACTGTATTTTTTCAGAGTCCATATAGCATGGACTGCCACAAGATGAGATCCATTGTGGGGGCTCCTATTAAACTGATGAAGACCTCCACAAGGCATTAAGGCGGTTCTAAACAAGATAACAGTTGAGCAGAATCTTTGTTGCTGTGAAGCCACATAAAATTGAGGTCCTCCTCAGAAACAAGTTGGAATTGCGGCCCTGGGAGCCGTCGTTGCATCTGTTTCTCCTTCTGTACCTACCAAATTCATTAAATACAAGCCTACAACGCGCATGGATTTCCTACACAGCGGTCTTCATGCAGTCCCTCAAGTCCGAAACACGTGAACTCCGGTCCAAACACCTTCTATGACGTCCCTTCCCAGCCCTTAACCCCAAATCCCACAAACTTGAAACCTCCAAGCCAAACCCTGAATCCTCAAACCGCCGCAACGAAAGCTCCTGGCTCGACTGGACGGTGTGCGCATTGAGGATCTCATTCACTAATGGCCGGAAGCTCGAGTAGTAGTAGGTCACTTCAGACATCCTTGGCCGAGGGGCTTAGGGGATATGGGCTTTGGGGTTGGAGTAGAGGTTAGAGGGGTTCAAACGTGATTTCTAGAAAGTCTCGAGGATTGGGGCCGCGGGATGCGCAAAACCGCTGCTGCAACCTGCCCCACCGTCGAACCTGCCAATGATACCTCCCAAAGATCGGGATCCAAACTGCAAGTTTCTCATGAAAAGATCTCTATTTCAGAAACACATGCTGCAGCCAAGCATTCTCACCCGCAATTATAGTTGCGCGCCTTTTATGCTTATAACCGCGTGTATAACGGTCATAACTTACAACAGAAACACTACTGCATGTTTGAGGAAGCATCTGTTGAAGCGTACACATGTTGGTCAGAACGGGGACTCCGGCAAAGGGCACACCCTCGATGATGCCTTCAGGGCTAGTGTTTGGTGCCAAGTCTACGGGATGGTTTAGCAGTTGGGATTTCTGCCTTAACTGGGGTATGGGATTTGGTGTTTACTCTCGAAGGCACGGGCTTGCACATCTCAAAACCCCTTGAATTGAGTGGGGGCATGTCACGACTTCATCATAACTTTGGCACGATACCTTCTAAAGCCTGAAACCAAAAATCAATCCTACAGTACCTAAACCCTTCACTCTGTCATTCCGCCATGTTGATGCACCTTCTCATACAAGAAGCTCTAATGCACCCCTCTCTCATCGGCACCACCAAAAACATGCAGGATAGAGACAAGCTACGAAAAAACATCTTTCTAGAGGCTTTCTCAGTTGGAAGCCTGCGTGTGAAGCTTCGAAGAGAAGCTTTGTCTCCTTCAAGGAGGCCTGACTCAGCTGGTTTTGGAAAGCATGCAGGGGGTTCTGCAATTCACTCCGCTGTCGCAACACCCGATTTCGGGCAGTAGGGGCCCATTTCTGACAGTGTGAAAACAAGGCTCCAATTTATGAGGAACTCCTACAATCAGCTGAAACTACAGGATTGAGGTGGCGGCCGGTGTTGTTGTAGGAGCCCATCAAAGGACTACATTGGAACACAGTAAGTGTGTGGGGAGACAATCTAGGTATGCCGCTCTTACATGCATGCTTCGCAGCTCTAGTGTTATAAGGAGTGGACTCTTTGAGTTGTCACATAGCATCTTGAACATCAAGGGCTGCAGACTTCATGCCTAAGGCCTTGCACCCATAGCACGCGCATGGTCTAACATGGTGTACATATACGAATCATGCCGTCATACATTCACACCAAGAATGGCGATCTAGCGCAAGACTATATACTATGGTAGCGACTCAGCGTAATCGTACCGGAACGACGCTGCAAGCAGCAGGCTAGGTTCGGCATCAAAAGTTGCACTTCAGCCTTGACACGCGGAGCCATGACTTCATGGACGCTGAAGGCTACGGGGATCCCAAACTGTTAGCCCGTGGCTTCCCAGAAGTGGGGTGCGCGTGTTTTTTCGGCGAAATTTCGAAGACGCACCATGAAAATAAGTCATCAGTTTCAAAACGATGTCACGAGATGAGACATGCTGCTGATCTGCTGGCACACATTCAGTACCTCTTGGCGAGACCTCTTTACAGATATCCACAACCTCCGACCCGCCGATGAATTTTCGGAAGCTGCGGCCAGAAATTTGCTGAGGCGCGTCAATGGATTCAACCTGAATGTGCCATGTGGTAGTGGACAGAAAGACCGGTGAATTTGTGCGAGGAAATTCTGGAGGATTTTTCAAAAGAGGCAATCTTGCTCTTTAAAAAAAATCCGCGCAAACTTCTGCGCAAATTTCGCACACCCTCAACATGCAGCCTACCCAGTTCTTCGCAGACGTGTAATATTCCTAAACGGCATAGTCTTACACGTCTTGACGACAGCCAAACCTCAGAAATTGATTCGAGCTCTTGCTATCTGAAGCTGTGTTTGCTACGTCTTACCCAAACGTGCAAGCCAGCAATCCAGGTCTCTCACACTACACCTGCAAGCATGAAGCCAGGATACTCTCGAATTTGCACGTGTTATAACACGAATACTTCAGACACACAACATTCCCTGCCAAATCCGTTCTGCGGGTCAACAGCCCTAAAAACTGGGCTGTGCCAAGTCTTTGCCCCGATGGTAATGCGGCTCTACATAAGCGATTCCCCGTGTACGAGACGTACAGAAGCCTGCAGAGGTTCTGGATCCGCCTGCAGTAATGAGGCTCCCTCAAGGATTCCCACAGGATGTAGCTCTCGTAGAGAAGACACTTTCGATACTTTGTCATCTTAGACGACCGTAACCGTCAGAAGTAAAGATGGAAACCACTCCACCATTACAATGTGGCAAGCTGGGCGCCTGAAACACAGAAACCCCAAAACCTCAGCTGCCAATCCCCCACCCCGCAAAGTGCAGGCTGAAATGGAAGACCTCGTCAAATGCAACACCCAGACGAGGTCATCCAGTTGTTTGCAATCCATGAACAACGAGGAATGCCAGAATTCCGCCGCTCCAAGCCTGAACCCTTGTTCACAGTCATGCCAAAACCCTTGCATGGTCTGCAAGATGGATAGACGGATCCCGCACAGAACCACCTAGCTCATCAAAGGGAATAAAGATGCAGCTTTGGGGAATCCGTGCTGAGGATGTGATCAATACATACTAATAGCTTTCTCTGCGAATCCTTGTATAGCTACTATTCCGTGCCCCAGGTGCACTACCCAAACCCTCAGCGGTTTGAATGCAAAGTTGGGCCTTGTTCGTAGCCAGCGAAACTCCCTGGCTGATTAGAAGCGCTTGCAGGCACCTGCCAGATGATGAGAAGTCAAGATGTAGGGCGTGCGGCTTAGGGTTCAGGGCGTTTGGGCTGAAAGATTGAGGGGTGCATATTCTAAGGAACTTGTTGGGGCACCCGGATTCTGACAAGGATCCCGTTCTTGCAGGTTCTGGGTGGTGGCGGGGGGATGTGGATTAGGGTTGGTAGGTTGCATGGCGGTATTTCACTGAAGCTACACTGTCGTATGTGCGCCCCATAGGGTCAGCAAGGGCTTCGCTAATCCTACTCTCGCAAATTCATATTAATATGTTGGCTTCCGTAGAAGTGCGATTAGTTTAGCCACTGTCTTGCTATTGTCCACACGCCAACCTTGGACCTACGGCGCCAATTTTTAAACACCCGGATCTCTAAATAGGTTGAACAGCTCTTTTACACTACCTCCACGAAAGAATTGGGGGGGCCGCCGTTGATTTTAAACATCCGGAACCATCCCAGCTTCCACAGCCTCCGGCCCTCCAATTCCAGCCCTCCCAGCCCTCCAGCCCTTAAATCCTCAAACCCTCCAGCCCTCCAACCTTCCAACTCTCCAATCCTCAAACCCTCTGACCCCCGCAGCCCTCCAACCCTCCAGCCCCTTCAGGCCTCCAACCTTCCAACCCTCCAAGCCTCCAACCCTCCAGCCCTCCAACCTTCCAACCCTCCAACCTTCCAACCCTCCAGCCCTCCTACGTTGCCTATTGAGCCACAAACACTTGTAACCATAAGCCTTCAGGGTGTGAAGGGTTGGAGGGTTGGAGGGTTGGAGGGTTGGAGGGTTGGAGGTTTGGAGGGTTGGAGGGTTGGAAGGTTGGAGGGTCGGAAGGTCGGAAGGTTGGAAGGTTGGAGGGTTGGAAGGTGAGGGTTGGAGGGCTGGAGGGTTGGAGGGTTGGAGGGCTGGAGGGTTGGAGGGTTGGAGGGTTGGAGGGTTGGAAGGTTGGAGGGTTGGAGGGCTGGAACGGTTGGAGTGGCTGGAGATGGAGGGTTGGAAGGTTGGAGGGCAGGAAGGTTGGAAGTCCCACTGTCTCAGAGCCTGGCACCAACTTTTAAACATCCGGATTTAAATAGATGTTTTATACTACCTCCGTGGGCACCAGCCTTTGGCCGCCCTCCATATATTTAAAAGTAGGCACCGTAGGTTCTAGGCCCTATAGGCCCCAAACTCCGAATAACTAACCTAGACTCTACATCCTGGGCAGGAACAGCGACCACTGTACTGCTACACAAGCGAAGTCTTCCCAGGTCTCCCTGATTCGGGCAGAGTGCGGGGTTTAAGAAGAAAGCTAAGAGACTGCTGCAACACACCTGGGAATGGTTGCGCACGGAACAAAAAGGATGCAATCAAAAGAATTCATCCCGCAGGGGATTCCCAACTGCCTGAGACAGTACAACTGAACAGGAGAATCGGATAACATGAGTCCAGGGCACATGCTCTGGATGTAAGTCCTCTGTCGGCCGGCGATGTCTTGGACAATGCCATTCGTGGACGCACCTGCAACCTGCGCTGGAGCTCGAAGGATGAGGATACCGGAAGGATTCGACGCGTCACCTGCCTGAAGCTTTATAGGACTTTTTTGCGTAATGTCTAACTGAAACACTTGAGATCACCCCGCTCCCCGTCCTCGCCCCAAAAGGACATCCCACAACCAGGGTTACGAATGGGAATGAATAGTGTACCGATCACGATCATGGCGACCGCAAACGCAAGGTTTATAGTTAGATTCTTAAGTTTAGGGTCTTGACTTTTTGAAACTTTCCGAATCGTTTAAAGTTTAGGGAGTTCCGGAGAACCCATGACCAAGATAGGGCCTTCTCCTTCTGAAGGATCCACCATTTTTGAGCCTTTCAGTAGGCTCCGTGGAACACCTTTGACTCCGAAGCTCAGCATCTGGGGCTCAGGGATTGCAATTGCAGCTGGTGTTTTGTGTCTGATTTGAAGGTGCCATATGGGCTAGCCTCTTAAAGCCAACAACTCCACGTACATCCCAAAAATCGCGCCTTAGCCGCGTCAACCAGCCCGCCGACAACCACGCTGGAGGCCTCCAACAAGGGCACGTTCTGCGCGGAGACGGCCTGGCAGAGAGGCGCCCGATACACCGGATAGTCCTTGCAGAGTCCAGCCACCAGACATGATAATCCGCGTCAGACCGTCAGATGAACTGCAAACTTTCTGCAATGCCCATGTAAAGCTCTTGTGCAGACGAACATGCTTCCGAAAGTCGTGCATCATTGCAGGTTGACGCACGTTCCCAGATTTGACAAGGGCCCAAACACGGAATAGAGAGTTCTGCCGGGATTCTGGACGTGAGCTGGATTCAGTTGTGGTTCACGTCCTGTGAACCTGAAGTTCTTGCCCTTCCAGTAGAGGCCTAAAAGCAGGAAGGGTGATTTTGGCTACGCCTCGATCTTCCTGGCACTTAAGGCAAGGGGATATAATGTTCGAACTTTCTGGCCTGAGTTGCTTCATGCTCAAGGACATTTTCAACAAGTCACCAAAACATCTGATTGGCTGAGCAAAGAAGCCCTGAAACCAAGTTGCATCTTGCACCCCTCCGGTAGCAGATGCACCGTAAGCCCTAAAGCCACATCGGAAGTGTGTTATCAATCTCCTCCTATAGTTGGACGTTCAGGAGGGGATTTGGCAACTACTTGTACCTAAGGAGTTCATTCTACTTACTTATACTTGGGGTAAACTTCACTGAGGCCAGTTAAGGGAACTATACACTAAGGCCAAGTGTAATTACTAAGCCCCTGAACCTCCAAGCCAGGCCAGAGTTTTAAAGCCACATGTTGAGTCCATGGTGAGGTGCATGGGTTCACCAGGAGTTCAGAGGCCCTTTTTGGGCCAAAACTAGGGATGCTTCGAAACACTAGTATGCGTATACAGCAGGCTTTATATGAGACTGTAGGATAGGATACAACTCGGCCCTCTCCCCGCCTAAGACTTTAATGACAACCGAAGCAGGCCAGATCGGACTCATGGGCTACTTTTGGACCTTCCCCCCTCAACCCCCCCTAACTTGCAAGTCGCCAAGGCCTGAAGAACTGGGATGTTTACCGAGCCATCCGCTGCTCGAACCGTGTTGACACTGCTGGTCAGTAGGGTCCTGGGTTGCTGTGTTAAACAGAACATAAGCCTGAAGTAGGCGTATGGGATAGTGGTTGGGGCACTTCTTATAGGAGGTTTTAAAAATTGAGGTGCCCTTTTGGGAGTCATTCTACTTAGGATAACAACTTTCGAGGTAGTATAAAGGGGGCATCCAGATGTTTGGACATACCCTATAGATAAAGCTGATGTTGCGGTCATAGATGCTGATATTGCCCCACGGGTTGGGTGGAAACACTTGGCTGTTGCCAGATAACCTAAGACAATAACAACATTCATCATCATCATCATCGTCGTCGTCGTCGTCGTCGTCGTCGTCGTCGTCGTCGTCGTCGTCGTCGTCGTCGTCGTCGTCGTCGTCGTCGTCGTCGTCGTCGTCGTCATCGTCAAAACAGCAGCAGCAGCAGCAGCAATATCTCGCATGATACTAGTATTTTGGTCGAAAACAAAAAACAGCATAGGAACAATAATACTAGTAGCAATTATGAGAGTAGTAAGGACAATAATTATGACAACAGTTAAACGTCCATGCAATTTCCAAACGTCTTGCATGACGTCTGGGAATTGTCAAGCAGCTGTCACAGCCTCCTAGCAAAAGCACCCTTCAGGGCTTAGGGTCTCTTTTTTCAGTCCGGGGCAATAGTTACCAGGCATCACTGAATCCCAAGCTTATCCAACTTTAAAGCCGCTAAGGCTAAAACCCTACTGCAGAGCAGACGGCCTATAGGCTTCAAATCCTTTAGTTCAGTAGACTTCCACCATTTAAGTATTTCGTGAACAATCCTGCATTTTGCAAACAAGGACCCCATAATCCACCTGTACTCCTCACATTCTCTAGGAGTGCCCAAGGCCTTTCACCTCCCTTGTTTTGGAACTTGACCTGTCCAGGAGAATTCCCTATAAAACCCTTGCACGCTCAATTCCAAGGTCACAAACATCCACATGAAGCCCTGATCGGCACCCATACTTACCCGCTGACAAGCAGAAGGACTTATTACATCCGGGTTTGCCAGCACGGACCTTACTTCTACAACATGTCCAACTGGAAGGCATGTAGGCCAGGAACTGATTGGACAAACACCTAGGACGCGATGTTAAGAGTCCGTCCCGGAACCAAAAACCCACATCCCCAGCTGCCAAGGACTTCATCGCTCCTGCCCAAATCAGAACCCTGAAAACCTAGATGTACCCAAGAAAACTTGTACTGAGGTGAAAGACGAAGGTCTCGAAAGGAACCCAGAGGTCAAGGACCTTGGGCACACAAAGTTTAGCATTCAGGGTCTGTAGCCGTTTAGGAGGCCTAGGCATGTGGAATCAAGAGAAAAGTTTAGGGAGTCTGGGGTGGGTCAGTGCCGAATGCCCAAAGGGCATCCCAGGCAAAAGTGCTAATTGAGCCTCCCTTAGGATCATTAGAAAGTTCGGCAGGCTTTCTAAAGATGAATCAGCGCCCGTGAGCGGCATATGATTTTGCAGTCCTTTCGCTGGGTGAGGCACCTTTGAGAAGTCCAGGCTTAGGTGTCAGAATTGGGAATTTAAGGTCATTGCTCACGGTTCATGGCGCAAGGTGCGGAATGACCGTGTCAGTATATAGGTTGTATTCGGGCTTCAGGAGTGAAAGTCTATGAGCTATCGTTCCAGCTCGAATGCCAAACCAAGTATATCTTGTGCCGGCACTGCCCGGCACCCCTTCCAACATTTTCTGCAAGCACATGAACTAACATGGGACATCAGCTGCGTATTTATTCGTTGGAGCACCGAAGACTGAGTTGCAGTGTGAGAAGTATCACTGCATTGTAGATCTGAACAACGTGCCCACACAGAAAACAATTGGCCAGCCTAAAGTCAAACTACCACCCTACAAGCCAAGACACCGTCACTGAGGAAGACACATTAAATCATGTAAGGGTTCCTGAGGAATGCATACGATCTCTGAATTCAAGGGGTTTGCTGAGGATTGCAATCCTGGGCTCTTTGTGCAACCATTTCAACAAGGTGTGGACTGCGGGGCGTTTCAAACAAAACAAAGGTTCTGGAACTGCCGGAGCTCAACAGAATCATGATTCCAGGGCTCCCTTCTGCGTGCAATTAAGCCTGCTTGCATCCGCATAGTGCTTCAAGTGTGGGCCATGGGCCTCCTCGCCCTTTTTAATGGGAGGTATTTTCAGGGATGATGGCGCACCTCACCCCCAAACCTTTTGCAGCCAGCATACCCTCATTCCTCAACCCTAAACCCTATAAGCCTTATACCCCCAAACCCAATGACCAGGCACTTCCTGCAGATTAGCCAGCACTTGCTGGTTGGGAGCTGCGACGACGCCTGGGCTTCAGCTGCAGCAGCTAGAGCTTTGGGCTTGCATATAAGGTTCAGGGATTAGGGTGTATAGGATTTGGGTGTTCAAAAATTGAGGACCACTTGACAGGGGCACCTATAATAAGGATGAGTATTGAGTGTTGAGGTCATTATTACTCCCCTCAGCTTCTGGAACACCCCATCCAGGATTTTCGGCTTCTGGGCTTAGGACTTAGGGTCTTGGTTGGGGCTTAGGATCTACATAATAGACCTGTCAAAGAAGATGGGGAGTTTGATCAAGAGAGGTCTCAGGTATGGACCGAAATACGTATAGGCCAAAAGCCTCACACAGGACGGTGGCGTAGCAGGATGCTCCTGCAAGTAGAAGGAAGGCCAACCGGGCAAACTCACCCAATCAAAGCACAATCAGGGGCAAAGGTCACATGAGGTCACCATAGTTTGCCTGGATGCTGGCAGCAGTCGCCGATGCGTTGTAGGTCTTCAGTGGGGTATGTCGGGGAGCTTGTGCGCCATAGGCCCTAGCCCCTACGCAGACCTCCTATGCAGCCTTTTCCTGGTAGCAGGGTTCCTTTCGGATTCCAAATGTAAACCTTTTTTGACACACGAGTTAGCAGCCCCTGGAATGATAACCTGCTTGAGGCATCAGATACACAAAAGAACATGTGGCTTCATTTTGGCGGATTTTGACCCTTCCCCCGCAACTCTGACTCCGACCTCCTGAACCCTCAGCCCTGCGATTCTTGCCCTGAAACCCTAAAACATTCCAAAACCCTACTTCAACCTTCAAGCGCATTGGGGCATCCCAGGGGCCCTGGGAGGGATCACCAGTGACCAGTGCGTGAAGAGTGGAGTTGAAGTCTTGCACGCTTTGCTGCAACTTGACCTGCTCCGGGAATCGGAAGCCTTTGGCCCTTTTGGGGATTGAAATGGGATGGGTGGGATATGCCGCAGGTCTCGGGGGCTGTGAGAAGGTCTTGATTGACAATAGGTTGCAGGTTTTTGGACCCGGGAATTCGGTGGACATTTTGATAGCCTTGTTTGACAGGCTGTAGATTATTGTACATACAAGCCTAATCCTCATTACACGGCCCAAGCCCATATATCCTGATGTAGACATGCAGAAACCCATGTTGCGCCAGGGCATGAGGATTTTCATTTGAAGCTTGAGATTGAGCAATGCCCGGTTAAGGGCTTATGATTCAGGACGTATAAGCTTTGCCTT